AAGTCCACACTGACCCACAGAGTATCCCACCCAGACCCATTCCCCTGTAAACCCACCTAATCTACACATCCCTGAACACTATGGGCAATTTAGCATGGCCAATCCACCTAGCCTGCACATCTTTGGGCTGAGGAAACCAGAGCACCGAGGAAACCCACGCAGACATGGGGAGAATGTGCAAACTCCACACAGACAGTCACCCGATGGTGGAATTGAACCTGGGTCCCTGGCACTGTGAGGCAGCAGTGCTAACCACAGAGCCACCGTGCCACATTTTTTTAAGGAGATTGGAGAGCTGTTCCATTATCTGCGCTTCTCTGTTAAAATTGGCTCATTTGGACATGTTAACCGTAACCAATGTGGAACTTGCCTGTAGTCATTTTCCTGAGATCTGGAAATCCACAAAAACCTCTAAGCCACTGAAGTACTATCATTATTTCTACATAATAATTGAGGGTGCTGCTATTCACACTCAACACAGTAGATCGTCTGACGCTGAATTCCACCTGCCATTCTTTAAGCCCAGTTGCCATTTTTTTATTCACTCATGGGACATGCCCATTGCTGACTGGGCATGCAGTTTTTACTCAGTCCTTGTAGCCCTTGAGAAGGTGGTGGTGAGCTGTCTTTTTGAACTACTACAATCCATGTACTGTATGTAAACCCACTTTACCATTCAGGACGGGATGCCAGGATCTCTCCATTGGGTTCTAGTGACAGGTGCCTATGGGATATAGTGTCCAGGGTTTACAATTAACCTTCATCCTCAGGGTGTTATTCACAAAATAATATGAAAGGAAGCATGAAGCACAATCCAACAGTAAAGCTCTCGCTAAAGTTACACCAAGCTCCATCTGTCCTCATGTTCATGTAAAATTACAAAAGCCATTTCAAAGTTCTCTCAGGAGCCCTAACAAATTAGAGATGGCAGCTGAGTTCCAGCTCTGAAAGTTAGGGCAGCATGGTGGTTCAGTGGTTAGCACCGCTGCCTCACAGCACAAGGACCCCGGGTTTGATTTGACCCTTAGGCAACTGTCTGTGTTTGCATGTTCTCTCTGTGTTTGCGTGAGTTTCCTCCCACAGTCCAAACATGCACAGGTTAGGCGGATTGGCATGCTAAATTGCCCATAGCATGCAGGGATGTGTAGGTTAGGTGGATTATGGGAAATACAGGATTACAGGGATAGGGGATGGGTCTGGGTGGGATTCTCTTCCAAGAGTTGGTGTGGACTCAACAGGCTAAATGGCCTGTAGGGATTCTATGATTCTAAATCAGGATGGCCAATGTTGTATAAGGAAATGGTTCTGAAAAAGTTAACATTGAAGTTGCAAATCCCTGAGAAATACCTACTGTTGCTCAAGAACCCAATGGAGACAGATAAGGCATATGTGGCTCCTGATATTTGTAATTATGCCTAACTAGATAACAGTACCAATTACTATCACACAATAAGTGATACATTGCCATAAAATACAAGTTTTCTTTTGATTCACTCATGGAACATGGGTGTTGCTGCCTGAGCCAGCATTTATTGCCCATCCGTAGTTTACCTTGAGAAAATGGCAGTGATCTGCCATCTTCAACTGCCGTAGTCCACATGTTATAGACAGACTCATGATGTCTTTAGGGAGAGAATTTTAAGATTTTGACATTGAAGGAACGATGATATGTTTCCAAGTCACGAAGGCGAGTGGCTTGGAGGGGTTCTTGCAGGTGGTGGAGCTCCTCTGCTGTCCTTGTCCTTCTGGATGGAAGTGGTCATGGGGTTTGGAAAGCTCTGTCTGAAGAACTTTGGTGAATTTCTGCAGAGCATCTAGTAAATGTATACTGCTACTACTGAGCGTCGGTAGTGGAGGAATTGGAATATTTGTAGATGTGGTACTTCTCTCTAGTGGTTTATTCTCTACACTTTTAATTGGATAGACCCCTAGATTTAATATAGAAAGGAGGATTGGAGGCAGCGAACTACCACAAAGGCCACCAATTGTTGGTACCCCCATTGCAATGAAACACACGTGAAGATAGCAGTATGGAGATTAAATATCCAGATGGTAATGTGAAAGGTGGTGTTTGAAAGATAAGTATTAAGCATAACGTTGGGACAGTTCTCTGAGAATAATGCTATCCTCCATCACCCACATCGCCAAACATAATAAGAGTTCTGAAGGGTCAATTAACCCAAAACGTTAACTCTGATTTCTCTCCACAAGATGCTGCCAGACCCACTGAGTTTTTCCAGCATCCACAGTTCTTTTGGTTTTATATAATAGAGGAAGTAGACCACTTGGTCTTTTGAGCTTTATCTGTAATTCAGTTAGATCATAGTCAACCCTCTACTTAAGCAGCACACTTATGCAGTATCCACAGTTATATCCTTCGATATATTCTTTCATTTTCTTAGTATCTAAAAATCTCTAGATTTCTGACTTGAATTTATTCAACAATTATTTACTCAGTTGTACATTGTGAACAAAGTGAGACATATTTATAACTGTACATCTCCTAACTCTAAAAGCCACAAACAGTGTAAATAAGCATCTCTTTACATGCTTTTAAAATAATTAAATAACAAATAAATAAATCAACCTCATGTAAGGAGCACTTTAATTCAAGTATTCGCAATTTAAAACAAGTTGTTAAAAAGAAACCTTCAAATTAAAATGAAATTACTTAAGACAATGACTCCCTCCTGAACCCCATGGCACCCACTGGTCATTGAATGCTTCAAGAATACAGGAGCATACAGATACAGATGTGACCTCGAAACAGAGGCAGTCAGACAGGTCAATGACTACTTCAGCAGCCTGCTGCTTGGACCTCCTGATGGTCAACTGGACCATGCCCAAGAGCACAACAACAAGGGGGTCCTTTGATCTGTCTACCACATTCCTCTCTCCATTCCCTGCCACCAAACTACTTGGCCAAAGGTCAGGAGCATGGGCTGAATTTCAAGTATAAACTCAGTCCTCATCTCACCTGACTAATGTTTTACCTTTTATTGTCAACCAACACTTAATTCCAATCTCACTTTTTTCAGAGGTAGTATACCTTCCATTTCTGCTACTTCACTTCAGCTAAAAGCCCATGAGGTAATGCATTTCCAATTTTCTAAATCTGTTGGTTATTCTCTCTGTTCAACTGATTTAAGGATGCTCCACCAGAGCCACTGTGCAAAATCCTGTTCTCATCAGCCTTCCCAAGATTCCAGCTTTCAGTCCCTTACACTACAATGCACCACTTCAAGGGTTCTGTCAGTTGTTTTTTTCAAGTTTAGACTGATGTTGGTACTCTCCAGATGTCATTCAGACGAACAATTGTGGAACACGCAACTACCAGTAGTGTTTTGTTTCAGATTTGCCATTCCCAATTATGGTCAAACCTAGAATTTGAAAATGACCTACATTCATTCATAATGATTGTGGGCTGAATCTTCATACCATTCTGACCATGCTAATGCATTAGCTGCAAACTCATTTTTTTAAAAATAAGCTTTTATGAAACACATTGCCAATTTTTTTTTTCAAAATCCGAAAACACATCCATTGTTTTTTCTAGCAACCTACTAGTTGTCAAATGCCTTCTGGAAATCTTCATATACCACATAATCTGGTTCTCCTTTATCTACATTGTGTGTTATTTCTTTTAAAAGAACTCAAATAAATTAGTCAAAAATAATTTCCCTTTCATAAAATCATTATGACTCTGCCTGACTTAATTGATATCTTCTAAGTGTGTACTTTAATTGTTAGTTTCACCTTGAGAAAGGGCCTTTATTTCCTTCGCCATTGTTTTTATAACAAACAAACAAACAAACAGAAGAGCTTCCATACACATACAGTGGATTCATGCAATTTCCAGAAACTCTGCCTCCAGGAGAATAGTTAGATTATGTGTGTTTCTTGCAATCTTGACATTGCCCTTTATGTACAAAATAGACACTGATAGGATTAATCTCCAGTTTATCTTTGTTGTTCCATGCTTCAATTCAAAATGAGATTGCAAATCCATCTACTTTAGTTTTAAAAAGCAATGACAGTTTGTCAGAGGGGTAGGTTGAAAAGTAAGTTGTCAAGAGGACATAAGACTACAAAGGAATTTAGATTGGTTAAGTGAATGCAAAAATTGATAGATTGAGTTTAATGCAGGAAAATGTGTGTCCACTTTGTCAGGAAGAATAAAAAGCAATATACTACTTAAATGAAGAGGGACTGCATAACTCCATGGTACAGAGGGAATTAATTGTTCCAGTACACAAATCAGAGGAAGTTTTTATGAACGTAGGTCAAAGGATTGGAAAGTAAATGGAATGCTAGTATTTATTGCAAGGGAAATTTGGTATAAATGTAGGGAATTGTTGCTATAGTGCGGTTAATCTAGGAAATAGTATGCTGAAGAAAAAGGTGGGTGTGGATGGTATTGATTCATTCAAATACAAGCTTGATTTATTTGGGAAAATAGTGTCTTGTAATACAGTACATGAGGAATAGCATGTTGTGAGCATTACTTGGGAGCCACTTTAGACCAATGGCCCGAAGCTCTCCACTTCTGAGTGTTATGCCTGGCTCTGTTATTGTTTCATTGATAACAAATCAAGTGCCATGATCAGCCAACAATTCCACTGTCATTGTATCACTGTCCTGGTCAATATTAAACTTTCAAAAATAAAAATTTATTCAACTACACTTCATTTTTATCCTTATTTGTGGGATCATGATGTGCACACAATGATTACACAACAACAGCCAGCCATTTCAAAGCAATTCAATGTTGGTAAATTCTGTTCAGCTTGAGTCTACATTTCAAAATGTTCCATGCAAATGTAAGCAAGACAATTAGGATGTTAAACCTAACATCCGATTTAAAGAATTTTTTTCATTTACATTAAAGAAAAGGCAAATTAAAATGGGGGTAATTGTTTAAAATTGAAACTAAAAGGTTTAAACATGAATTTAATAGAAGTATTTTTAGCTCCTCCCCCCATGTGATATAAGTGAGCTGAATCTGATGCAGTATAAAAGAACAGTGAATGAGCTGAGGAATGTATGAGTAATCATATTTGCTGAGTGCTGTAATGCAAGAGGAGTTGTGCTGGGCTTATCTTTGAAGGTAAGATTTGCTGGTGAACTTACTGCAAGAATGTGGTTTGCTTTTCTTTCTGTCTGTGAAATGTTGTGATTTTTGGTTCTCTTTGCAGTGATTTTCTAGCAGATTCTGAGTCATGGGGGATGAGGAGATTGCAGCTCTGGTTGTGGATAATGGATCTGGGATGTGTAAGGCTGGGTTTGCAGGGGATGATGCTCCTAGAGCTGTATTTCCTTCCATCATTGGAAGGCCTCGCCACCAGGTAATTTTATTCCAATTATTATTCAAAATAAAATATTTTAAGAAGATTTTCAAATTTTAGTTTATACTTTTGAGGAAGAGTTTGAAGTAGTCTCTGGGGCTTGCTCTCTCGCTCTTGCTCTCCTTTGCATGATCTGTAAAGGATATTGGTTATATTACTAGATTAACAATCCAGATACTTATCTGAGAAAACATGAGTTCAAATCCCATAACAATACAAAATCATGTTTGGAAAGAAAACTAAGATTTTGTTGCTTTTAGTACTGTTTTCAACTGTTAAGTTCTCTTTTTTTACAGTAATGATTGTTCTGTAAGTTGCATCTCCTATTTGCCCTAAAACATTGTCTGTGCATCTTTCCACATGTATCTTCAAATACATCATATTGAGTTTCCATTTGCATTGTATGGGAAAGAGAATTGCATTTATATAGTCTTTTTCAAGGACAATCTCTTCTGTTTCTATTCAATTTGTTTTCGATTTAACTCCCACTGACTTAGAGTGGCTCTTAACTGCTTTCAGAAATGGCCTATGAAGCCATTCAATTGCATCTGACATCTGAAGCAGGGTTACTGGGAATGAGCAAGACTCTTGGTAGTGGGGAGTTTGCGGAGGTCTGTGAAGGTTGGGAATGCAATGCTAGGTTGGGCTACGTGGACCAGCAGTTGGGTTGCTAGGAAACATGACTGCATCCTGTTGTTCTATGTTAACCCATCATTTACAGGAGCAAGAGAAATCCTTCAAAAAGGATATTCTCTCTTTTGGGCAAAGGTCAAAATGCATTTTTAATTAAAAACATTTGTTCCATCCTGATCTAGTTTACAAATAACTACAATAAAAGAACCTAAGTATTTTGACAAACTAGTATCTTTCATATTTTGCTTTTTGTATTTTAACAAGGACTTTGATTTTTATTTTTGGAAGAGATAATAATGGGAATACTTCTATTGGTTGAACCAGGATTTGTAAACTGTAAACTTCATTCCTCACCTACAACTCCAAGATTAAGGTCAAAAACTAAGCTGATTTTAACATGAGAAATAATGTTAGATTTCCTTTGTATTGCAGTTCTTTACTCGGATTTGCTTGAAAGCATTCAGGCTCAGCAACAAAACGTTAACCTGTGTCTTTCCGTGCTTGAGCTAAAAAGGAAGCTTGCAAACTAACTATGACAAAAGCAGTGGCTGTTACTAGAGTAGCAGTTCAGAATCCAGAGAATATGAATTACAATCCCAGTTTAAAATATCTGGGAACAAAAAGCTACTGTCAGTAAAAGTGATATTGAAGCACTCTGCTGATAAAGTAAAATTTGTTCAACAACGTCCTTTTATTTCCAGGGCAGAAAATACCATTCAGGCTGATGATCCTGGTCCCATAGTGACTTGGTTGTCCTCTGAAATGACCTAGTGAGCAATTCAGCTGTAGTCACCTTCTGTTTTTTTGTGACCAAGCAGACAAAGAGTCGGAGTCCCTACAGTGTGGAAACAGGCCATTTGGCCCAACAAGTCGGCACCACCCCTCCAAACAGCATTCCACCCAGACCAATTCCCCTGCATTTCCCCATGTTTAACCCACCTAACCTAAACATCCCTGGACAATACGGGCAATTTAGCTTGGCCAACCCACTTACGCTGCACATCTTTGGACTATGGGAGGAAACCCACGAGACATGGGGAGAATGTACAAACTCCACATAGACAGTTGCCTGAGGGTGGAATCAAACCTGGGTCCCTGGTGCTGTGAGGCAACAATGCTAACCATTGAGCCACCTTGCAGGCCAGCAGATAATCCCAATTTTGCTATCAACACCCAGATCTGGGAATAAATTAGTTTGATACTGAATGAAAAGTTATCCTCTCTCAGTTCAGTGCCCAACAGCGAAAGAACCTTCAATGACTTACTTCTTCCCTGACACACATTACAAGTGTCTTTTTTTTAATTTATCCTAGTCACACGACTATGACTTCTACAATTAAGTGAAACTGGTGAGCTGTTCCCTTGAAATGCTGTGATCCACTTGATTTAATTGCATCTCCTATCCTATTGGTCCTGACCAACATTTAGCCCTAAAGCACTGTCTATTCATTTTTGCCATGTGTCTCTTCCCATTCAAGATCATATTGAGATTCCATTTACATTGTTTTGGAAAGAGAGACTTGCATTTACATAGTCCTTCCCCCAAGTCCCAAAGCCCTTTTACAAGAAATGAAAGACTTTTGAAATATAGTCATTGCAATTTAGGAAACTATGTCAATGAACAAAATCTGCTTTTTGTGATGTTGATTGAAGAAGAACTGTTGGCCAGAACACGTGTAATTCCTTTGCTGTACTTTAAAATACTCCCATTTTTTAAAATCTATATCCACATGAGAAAGCAAATAGGAGTCTTGGTATTACATTTCATGAAAAGTAGCACCTCTGAATGTGCAACACACCCTTCCTGTTGAATTAGTGTCAATCTTTTGGTTCGTGCCCAAGTCTAAATGCACCTTGCGTGTGTTCCACCAGCTGAAACATGTTTGATTCTGGCCTTGCTCATGATCCTCTTCTCCTAATTTCAGGGAGTGATGGTGGGAATGGGTCAGAAAGACAGTTATGTTGGTGATGAAGCCCAGAGCAAGAGAGGGATTCTGACCCTGAAGTATCCAATTGAGCATGGGGTTGTGACCAACTGGGATGACATGGAGAAGATCTGGCATCACACCTTCTACAATGAGCTGCGAGTTGCCCCAGAGGAACATCCCGTTCTCCTCACAGAGGCACCTCTCAACCCCAAAGCTAACCGGGAGAAGATGACTCAGATTATGTTTGAGACCTTTAACACGCCAGCTATGTATGTCTCCATTCAGGCTGTCCTGTCCTTGTATGCCTCTGGCCGCACGACAGGTATTGTAATGGACTCTGGTGATGGTGTGACTCACACAGTACCTATTTATGAAGGGTATGCCTTGCCCCATGCCATTCTGCGACTAGACCTGGCTGGCAGGGACCTGACTGACTACCTGATGAAGATTCTGACTGAACGTGGGTACTCTTTCACAACCACAGCTGAAAGGGAGATTGTCCGTGACATCAAAGAAAAGTTATGCTATGTGGCTCTTGACTTTGAGTCTGAGATGGTTATGGCTGCATCCTCGTCAACCCTAGAGAAAAGCTATGAGCTACCAGATGGTCAAGTCATCACCATCGGCAATGAACGTTTCAGATGCCCAGAGGCTCTCTTCCAACCTTCCTTCCTAGGAATGGAGACAACTGGAATCCATGAGACCACCTTCAACAGCATTATGAAATGTGACATAGACATCAGGAAGGATCTGTATGCCAATACAGTCTTGTCGGGTGGATCCACCATGTACCCAGGTATTGCTGATCGAATGCAAAAAGAAATCACAGCCTTGGCTCCAAGCACAATGAAGATTAAAATCATTGCTCCACCTGAAAGGAAGTATTCAGTGTGGATTGGTGGGTCTATCTTGGCTTCTCTCTCCACATTCCAACAAATGTGGATCACCAAACAAGAATATGATGAGTCAGGTCCATCAATAGTCCATCGAAAGTGCTTTTGATCTGAGCTTGTTCTGTAATGTGTGAATGTCCAGGCTGTCTAAGTAGAATATTGCCTTAAAATGCTTTAACTTGCCATTTTTCTTGATTATGCTGTCAAGAGGTTTATTATATTAAGATAGACGTTCATGTTCTAGTTGATATACACAAAATCCAGTGTGTAAACAGAAACTTGAATCCATTTGTTTTTCCCAAATCCTGTCCATAGTCTCTATCGCTTTCAACATTAAATCAGCTTAAATTTCATTCAGGGTTCCTTTTGATGTTTGCAAAAACCTCTTCAATATATTGACCTCCTTCAAGAATAAAGCATTGTTTTAATGATTACTCATTCTCTTGAGGCAACCAACATTGGCTTGAAAGCACATCTGTCAACATTAAGCCAAGATACTTGTGTCAAAATGTCTGTTGTGAATGTAAATGATACCAAGACTCCAAATTGCAAATATATATCCTATTTAGTGGTCTAATATTGCCTTGCATAATTCAAGATAAACTAAATTAACCATTGCAGGTCATTAATTTAGAGCTTTAAACCCACAATATACTGCTGTTCAACACTATCCCTCACTTAGCGATTGCTTATTGAGATTCAATAAGCTTTGACAGCTGAACATTCTCAGTGATCACTGTTTTTGCACACTGCCTTTTAGGAAGTAATAGTTTTGAAGAGGTAGTAATAAAACATAGTATAAAGAATTAAGTACCACAAGTGACCTGACTCAAGAGGTTGTAACTCTTTTATGCCTGAGGGATTACCAGTTAACTATCCTAGAGATCTTGTAATTCTTATTGTCTTGGTGTGACTAATCCTCAAACAATAAATGAGGGGAAAACAAGAACTAAAGCATGCTGATTTAAAGGATAAGAACAACCAAGTTTTGAATGTGGAATGGAAGATAGGTATTCTATTTTCAAGGTTACATGTATCGACTACTGACCTTTCTTTGGTATCACTGCTGAGTGAGGAAGGTTCAATTTCAGAATATTCTTAATCTCGAGCAATCTGAAATGTTAGCTAAAATCTTGATCTGTATGTTCCCCATGTTGTAATACATACCAAAGTCCCCAACATAGTCACTACAACCACCAGGTTCAGCATGCATGCCCGAGTGACTATTTCACTGGTGCTGCACTTCTTCCAAATGAGAACCCCTTTTAACTCCATTTTTTTTTTTTTCTCCACAGGTGAGTTTCTCCAGCATTGTTTGTTTTTGTTTTGAACCTGTTATGACTTTTCTTCAGAATCCACTAAAATTTGTCCAATAAGTTCACTTTTGGCCTCCTCTCCACATGAAATCTTGTCAAAGCTCAATGACCAGGAACTGAGTCCTGTTTTACATCATCTGGCTATAGTAAATACAGTACTCCATCTGATTTGTGTGCGAATAGTGTTGTACTGAGAGGGATTCTGATTCTCCTGCTCCCTTTCACTGTTTGATCCCAGTGTGTCTATTGTTGTCCCTGTAGCAAATAAATCTCAAATGTAATATGATTACACTTTTGATTTTTCTGCCTCTTTTCTCTCTAAGCACTATATACTTGTTTTGTTGTGACACTAAATAAATTCTGGTGACTTTGAATTGGAGGTCACTAATAAAAGCAAGTTTTCCCATTATTTCTCATTCTCCTTCTAATTCTAGTGGATGTGTATCCTGTTTCGGATGTTCAGTGGTGGCTGGATTCAGTGGCACAGGCTCCAAAACAATTTCTACCAATTGTTCTAGGACTAGACTTCTGTAAACAGCACCATCATCCATGTGTGAAGTGTCTGCCCATTTCTTGCCCCATCTCTTTAAACAATAACTGTGCAGGCTTTGTGCTACGGGGTGTAGATTCAGACACCAGAACACCTACAATACACTTTGTTGTTTAAAAACCATGTAGTACAAGAGTTCGTTATCTCCTGCTGAGAAGCCTTAAGGTTGAATTTTAATTTTGACCCAATGTAAGACGTATTTGACTTTACAGTTCAATCTTCTTCTTTTAAGGTGCTTATGTAAGTAAAAAAACTTATCACGAGCTCAGAATGTCTCAATGCCTGAAAGTGTTTCATGGCTAATTGAGAAAAATCTTCGACATGTGGGGTTTATTGTTATGTAGCGAAATGTAACAGCCAACCTGTACACAATATGATAAATAACCAGACAATTTGTTTTCCATACTGGTTAACTGAATCTACAAACCCTCCTTATGTCCACCCAATAAATCCAAAGCATTTTTTATGTTCACTTGAGGGGGCAAATGAATCTTATCTGGAAAATTGGCACCTCTAACTGTGCTGCCATCCTCAGTAAAGTTCTGCCATGCCATAAGATGTCATTTTGCTCCTTGAGCCTCATCTGCCATTCAATAAACTGCTGTCTGATTTGATTTGACTTTGGCTGAACTTTCAGCCTGCCCTCTATATCTTTCAACAATAAAAGAAAATCAGTCTAAGTCCCCCTTCAGTATATACAATGAGCCATGGCTGCTTGCTGGGAGAGAGAATTTCAAACACTAATGACCCTCCTCATCTGTCGTAAATGAAAGATCCTTCTTTTGACCCTAGTTCTAGTCTTTAGCCTCAAATATGTGGGCACCTCAGGCTGTGCCTTGAATTCACAGAAGCAGCAACTCTATCAAAACATAAGCCCTTTACCATTTATTGAAGCCTGGAATTATGTTTGACACCATTTTTCTTCTTAAGGCTTTTGCATTCATTACTGAGAAAAGATACAAAATAGGTTTTAAATTCCTCCAGGTTGTTTATAGGAACTTGTGTATTGTCCCTTTGATTTCCTTCTCTGAGCACTAAGGTTCAAATGAGAATTGATAAAGAAAGACAGACTGTGTGAATAAAGTAGGGGAGAATGAGGGTGGCAAAGACCTGACAAAATTCAAGCAGGAGCTGAATATTTGACAAAAGAAATGACTAAATATGTGGACAAGGTCAATTCATCAGGAGAGGTTGAAGGCTCACAATGGTTCATTCTCAGTCCAGAGTGTTCCTAATTCTTAAGTCTGATAGTATTGACTGGGGGGATAACTTTCTTCTCATGTATAGAAATAGACAAATAAATAAAATGGCAGGCAGAAAAATCAGTTTGTGATACTTTAGGGATCATGATTTAACAACCCATGTAGGCTCCTGGGGAAAGTAACAAAAAAACAGATCAATTTGGAAAAGAATCTGGAAGATAGCTAATATTTACCTTTCTCTTACCGACTCTCTCACACACACCACTTAAAGAGATGAAAATTACCCTAATAGGCTATATTCAACAAAAAGCTTGTTTTTTTTTCACGCAGTGAGGAACTAGCCCAGCTCTCATGTGAAGACAGTCAATACTCACAGTTTGTTCCATAGGTCTATTGTCCTCTGGGAAAAGGAGAACTGTTTGCTGTCTGACCTACTCCAACCTTGTATTACTCATTGGAGTAGCAAAAGAGCATTGCTACCTGAGAGTTAGTGCTGGTGCATCAATCACACATCAAACTGTGAGTGCAAATATCACACAGTTTGAACATCCTGATTTGTGTTCCCACATGAGGTATTGAATCAGGATACACAAGTGACTAACTACCCTAAGACAACAAGGTGCAGAGCTGGATGAACACAGCAGGCCAAGCAGCGTCAGAGGAGCAGGAAAGCTGATGTTTCGGGCCTAGACCCTTCTTCTGAAATGGGGGAGGGTAAGGGGGTTCTGAAATAAATAGGGAGAGAGGGGGAGGCGGATAGAAGATGGATAGAGGAGAAGATAGGTGGAGAGAAGACAGACAGGTCAAAGAGGCGGGGATGGAGCCAGTAAGGGTGAGTGTAGGTGGGGAGGTAGGGAGGAGATAGGTCAGTCCAGGGAGGACGGACAGGTCAAGGGGGCTGGATGAGGTTAGTAGGTAGGAGATGGGGGTGGGGCTTGAGGTGAGAGGAGGGGATAGGTGGGAGGAAGGACAGGTTAGAGAGGTGGGGTCAGGCTGGCCTGATTTTGGGATGCGGTAGTGGGGGGTAGATTTTGAAGCTTGTGAAGTCCACATTGATACCATTGGGCTGCAGGGTTCCCAAGCGGAATATGAGTTGCTGTTCCTACAACCTTCGGGTAGCATCGTTGTGGCACTGCACAGCCATCATCACTGGGCCAAAACCCTGGAATTATTGATCTATCAACAACAATTTCTCAAGCGTAATGAGGAATGTGCAATAAATATGGGAATGCTCGTACCCCTTAAAGAAAATCAATGCTCTAGGAAGGAAAATGAGGAACTGGATGAAGTACTCTCCAGGAAGAGGACGAGGGCTAACCCCCATCCCAGTAGCACGGTGCCATTTTAACAAACACAAAATCAGAAGCAGAACTGAAGCACAGCATCAGCAGAGATCCTTTCATGAACACAACATTCTAAATGGACATTATTTTACAGCGGTGAATGAACACAAGGGCATAAGACGGACGTGACAAGGCCACTTGTGATCTGCTGAGTAATCAGGCCTGGCAGGCCCATGGTTCTGGCAAGCTGTCGCTTCAGTGTAAATGAACTGACATTGGGAATCAGTCAGCACTTTCTGATGACATAAGGCTCGAGGTACAGATCAATAGTCTGCTCACCATCTGTTCCTTTGTAATTCAACCCACAGAGGCTATTTTCAGCATTGCAGTACAAGCAATCTTGTTGATGATTTCTGTGCTTTCACTTTGTGTCTGCATTTTGCTGCAGTGCAAAGTCATTCCGAGGTCCTTTGAAAATCAAACAACATTAGTATGTTTCTATTTCGTAATTTCTCCTCTCCTGCTGACAATGTAAATCCAGTCAAATGCCTGAATGACTGCACATCCTCTTCCAAAATAAAGCCAGATATGGAGTAACTTTTTCATGATGATTTGTTTTTAGTTCTGGTATATAATCTACTTGTCTTTTAAGTCTACTGTTTCTAAATCATTTTTTCTTGGGGTTTAAGTGGAAGTGGCATTTATTGCCCACGGCTTGTGGCTTAGAGTATTAAGAATCAACAACTAGAGTCACGTGCAGGCCATTCTGATAGAGGTTCCATTCCCTAAAGAATGTCAGTGAATCAGGAGGCTTTTGAGAACAATCAAGCACTTTGCTAACATACCACCTGAAAGAAACATCCAAAGTTCCTCAAGGGTTAAGTCAAGTATAAATGGATGAAGGATTCTGTGACCCAATGTAAACTATAGGCTTTGTTCTATCTAACAACTGTGAATACTTCCTTGGTTAATCTTAATTTCCCTTCATGTTGGAGTTGACCTGATGCCAAGGGTATGAAGAATCCCTACTTTGTGATCTTTGGGCTGTCTATGTGTTCAAATCTGATGTTACTGAGGTAAAGTTTGACATAACAGACCCTGCTTCTTCTTATCCGGAGACTTTCTGCCCCTGTATCATTTACAGACACCAACTGTTCATCTGCCCAGCATCCAATCAGAGACCTTTTGTCAGGCTTATGATCTTCAGCATCCACAACTGGTCACAATTTACCAAACCAAACAGCTATCTGTTGCTGGCCAAATCTCATTCTCCACTCACATCCCCGTGCTGTGCCATCTTATCTCACATCCCCAACAGCTTGCAACAATTCCTTTGCAATCAAAAATGGGGGGAGAAAATGGTAATCAAAAACACAGAAAAATAAAAAGTGTTTTTTTTAATACTCTGAGCTGAATTAATGATAGCTGTTAATTAATGAATAATAATCCCAACCTCTGGCCTACCAATGGAGAAAGTAAAGCTAAATAAGTTTGGAATTAGAGAAGAACGTGAGTGCAAAAGGATGTAGTTTAAACCAGTTTATAAATCTGCGGCCTATACATCAGTTAGCTTAGTTGGCTGGACGGCTGGTTTGAGATGCAGAACGACACCAACAGCATGGGTTATGTTTTTGCACTGGTTAAGGTCACAATGACAGTCATGCCTTCTCAAACTCATCCCTCACCTGAGTAGTAGTGACCCCCAGGTTACATTCATGACAAGTTGTCTCTCTGTCTAAGGAAAGAGTGGGATAATGGCAAATTTGTACTTATAAATCTGTAGCAGTTGCTAATGCATTATTAAACTGAGGTCAAGCTGCAAATTCTTGAGGGAACACCATCATTGTTATGTCCACAACAGGTAATTAATATACCTTTAAGGGAAATGCTCATAATTTCATCACCATAACGTGGCATGTGATGCCATAGACTAAAGGTCTCAATCTCCATCTTACTGAACCCACTTGCAGCACGGCATATGAGGGAAGCATGCTACAGTATATCTGAACTCTCAAGTGCTTGTGATTGCAGTGTGCAAATGTAGATATCAGATGCTTTAATAAGGGTTTATGGAATTCTTCAGCACTAGGTTACCTACATCACATTTGTATGTTACAGGAGCCAATGTAAGTATCACAAGATAATAGTTGAAGATCATGAGTCATCACGTCACATCACACCACAGTAGCACCAGTGAGTACCATTAAGTGCTTATATAAGAATCCTCACTAAAGCCCTGGATTATAAAGCATTTTGACAACAGATTTATTTGAGTACAGACCACCAACTTAAATAGCCATTATTTTCTTTCTAGTTTAAGTTCCTGACCTAAGGTAGAAGCCTTCTATTTCATTTAAAAACAAAAGTTGCAGCTTTCTTCCCAAAATAAGACCATAACAGCCAGAAGCAGGAGTAGGCCATTAAGCCCATTGAGTCTGCTCTGCCATTCTAGCTTTTTCTGATTTACAGACGAGGACTCCCAAATCCCCTTGTTCCATAACTTTCTGCATTTGAATCATATTCAGCTCTTCCGTTCTTCCTACCAAAATGCATCACCTCACATTTTCTGCACTTTATATTCCATCTGCCAAGTTCCTGCCCATTCACTTAACCAGACCATATCCATCTGCAGACCCTTGGTGACATCCTCACCACTTGTTTT